CATCTTTAAAATCATGAAGTTCATGATTTTATACCATTATTCCAGTCATCTGGTGGAAAAAAGGAAGTGACATGTCTAGGACAAGAGTCCTGCCACTGCCCTAAGACAGTTCCAGATTGTACTAATGTATTTTCTGGAAAAGACTTATAAATAGTATAGGCATAATTTAGCTTTCAACAAAACAAAAGGTTAAATTCCTGAACCTAACAGTATTTATGAAAGTCATCTTTCTGGAGACTATGATGTTTAATACTGTTTGTCTTTTATGCTGCAGAGAGATATTGGGACTACTGTGAAAATCTATTGATATCTTTTTTCTTTTTTTTTTTTTTTTTCAAAAGTGCAGTAAAATCTGACAGACCCCTATGGATAACAGAATGGTTTTTAAATTTGTTATTACTTTTGCACAACAGAACTGGATCCTATCTCAGCATGATTGGAAGTGAACACTTTTCTTCCTGACTGTGCTCCTCTTCTTGGTTCTTACACATCTCAAATCAATGGATTGTTTTTTCCCCTTTTCCCAGGTGTTCATATTTCATAGAGAAGGAAACATTTGGTCATGAGAGGCTCCAGGAACAGGGCAACCAGCTGCCAGTAATGTGGTTTTCCTGTCCCACTGACCTGCCTGGCACAGAGTTTCCCCGCGAGGATTCTGCACTGCCTGCTGAGGCTGCAGCTGCTCTGGGCCCATGGCAGCCGTGCCCAGCTCTCCCAGACTCTGTTGCCATGGCACTGTGGGGAACCACAGGGACTCCAAACCCCTTCACCACAACCTCACTAAATACACTCCAGTGTCAGCCCGTGCAGACCTCCTCTCAGCCATGGTCACTGCCCTGGCTGCCTCAGGAATGACCTGGACATGACAGGGCATCTGCTTCTTCTCCACTGAAAGAGAAGGGGCAAAGGTGAATTTTAATCTTTGACATTTGCAAAAAGTCAACTTTGTAAATTGTATTTTGTAGAACTAGGAAAACCAATTATTGTTATGTGAGTCTTCCTAAGAATTTTAACATTCATCATACACAAAGACCATCTGTCTGAAAGCCTTTTTTTTCCCTTTTTTTAAATTAATAGAGAGGAATTACTCTACCATTACAATCCATTCTTCTAACTCCAATGGATATATGGCTCTGCAGCTGCTGTTTCCTGATTGCATTTAGTGGATGCTATCAAAACAAAACTCCTATCTTCCCATTTATTAGATTTTTAGTTACAGAAGGGGTAGACTTTAGCTAACCAAAGGACTTGGTTATATGTGCTACTTGAAAATCCATTTTAATGTGCTTTGTTTTCTAGGAAGTGTGCATTATCTCTATCTGTACCTGCACATATACCTGCCTCCATATAAGAATGATAGAATGTCACTGGATATTGTGGTGAGATAACATTTTTCCCACACATATTGGAAACAACACCATGCTGCCTGTCCCTGTTGGCTATGAAGCTACAGAAGCATTTGCTGCAGCTCAGACCAGATGAGGCCTAGTAAAGAAGCAGGAGGAAATATCCTTGTGTTTAGATTTTATTTTTTTTTTTAGATGTTCAAGACTGGGAAAATATTAAATGGATGGTTCAGTTGTTTCTTATCCCTTTCATACATGTCACTCCTTTGGGAATTGCCTAATGCCTGGTTTCACTTGCTACTGCTCCTGTCTGCTTCATAGGTATTCCTTGCTGCTACTGGGATCAAGCTACACTGGCTGTTGAAGTAAAGTGGAAGGTAGAAAAGTTGTTTTATTTTTATTTAACATTTCAGAGGAAAAACAGGGATATTTTGGAAATTTCCAAATAGAATGCTAATTATTTCTTTATAAATAAAAAGAAAATACACATTCTTCCGCTGTTGCTTTAAAAAAAGATGACAGATTTATATGGCACAGGACTAAAGAAGTTCAATAGCGGTCTTGATTTAATTCTTTATTGCCAAATCACAATTTGTTGTGCTTTGATTAGTGTAAAGAGTAGGGAGCGCAATTATTGATTTCATCCAGGCAAAGAGATATAAATCTAAAATCTCCAGTGTACAGACTAATCTTTGTGCAACTCAGAAACTAGAGGAAGGCCTTGTTACAGTCCTAGCATGATACTGTTTGCCATACAGAGTGAGTAGAATTTGCTCTGGAAAGAATAATTACTAAATAAACATGTAATTTATATATAAATAACATTTGGCAATGTAGGAGTTAAATACAGCTAAAATTCTGAAAGAATGGAAGGAATAGAAAATAAACAGCAAGTAGGAAGGAAGATAACAGTAAATTGAAAAAAAGAAGTCAGAAGGAATATCTCAAGCTGAAACAATGTGACTGCTTTCTTTTCCTTTTATAGTATTTGGCTACATGGTATAAATAAGACAAGATTACATATTACAATGATGCAAAAATTTGTAGACAGAAAGCGGGCAAAAGCAACAGTAACTTCTGTAGGACCATATAATTGTGTTCTGACTGTAGATTTAGTTAACTTTTCCCTAAGTTTATATATTAAGATTAGTCATAAATATTTTTTAAGTATTTAAAACATTAAAAAAAGCTATTTTAATATCTATTTTTTTCAGCAGTATCTATTCTGTACCATTTGTACTCTATTAAGTGACATAGGGTTTTAGAACATAATAATCTGCAAAATGCAGTGGTCAATGCCCAGGAAGAAACTATTAAAGTATATCACTACTGAAAACAAAGAACAACAGGTTACTGGGAATTAGATGTTAGAAAAATTCTTTAGGAGAGAAGCTATTACCCACTGGCATGTAATAAACTCCTTAGCAGAAAGTGGCTTGGGGAGGAAAGGTCTCAGAATTATAACACTGTGATAAAAAAGTAAGCTGATGATTCTTCAAAACAAAACAACTGCTTTCACTTTAAAGGCTGTCTGGAAAGGACATATCTTGAGGGAAAAAATGCACAATGACTGTTTCCAACCACCCATTTATAAAAATAATAACTTTGTTTCTCCGTCTGCAGAAGCTATATACAAAAGCCTAATGGATAAAAAAATCTTAGTGGAGAAAAGGAAATAATCACCAGCTATAACTGGGGAGAGTTGTTACAGCTTAAAACTCAAAGCAAAGACTGTATATTTACTGAATCCTGAGGGCAGAGATGGATTATTAAATTAATCTGGGGCAGGTAAGTATATATACATATATACACTTCGCATTTGTGCTGTGAAATATGACTTAGGGAAGATACCTGTGATTTAAATTTGGAAGCAAAAGTACTGGTCTGGTTAAAAAGGAGAAAAGGAGAGAAAACATCTCTGTGTGTGTGTGTGTATGTGTGTGTGTGTGTGTGTATTTGTGTGTTTGCACACGTGTTCACTCACACAGAATGACAGAATGGGTATGGGTCAGGTTAGAAGGGACCACAGTGTGTCACATCTGATCCAACCTCCTTGCTCAAGCAGGGTCCTCCCAGAGCACATGGCACAGGATTGCATCCGGACAGAGAGTATTTCCAGTGAGGGAGACACCATACCCTCTCTGGACAGCCTGTTCCAGTGTGTGGTCACCCACACAGTAAAGTTCTTCTTCATGTTCAGGTAGAACTTTCTGTGCATCAGTTACTGCCTGTTACCTCTTGTCCTATTGTTCTGCACCACCAAGCAGAGCCTGGAAACATCCCTGTGGCACCCTCCTTTTAGACACTGACAGACATTGATGAGTTCCTATCTCAGTTGTCTTTTTTTGAGTCTGAACAGGCCCGGCTCCCTCAGCCTGTCCTTGTAAGAGAGATGTTCTAGTCTGTTCATCATTTTTGTTGTGCTCTACTGGATCCATTCCACAAGCTCCATCTCTCCTTTGTCCTGAGGAGCCCAGAATTGGACACAACACTCCAGATGTGGCCTCACCAGAGCTGAGCAGAGGGGCAGGATCACCTCCCTTGACTGGCTGAATGTTCTTCCTAATGCACCCCAGGACACTATTGGTCTCTTGGCCACAAGGGCTGGCTCGTGGAGAGCTTGCTGTCCACCAGAACCCTCAGACCCTTCTCTGCAGAGCTGCTTTCAGCAGGTCACCCCCAGCCTGTCCTGGTGCAGGGACAGGTTATTCTTCCCCAGGGGCAGGATCCTGCATTTGCCTTTGTTGAATTTAAAAGTAATCCACTCTGCCCCTCCCTCTGCATCTGTCAAGGCACACATGCACATGTTTATTTGAAAGCTGTTATACCTTTCCAAAGCAAGTGGGTCAGTTATAATGAAGTGCAGTCAGCTTTTGCGTTTTGGTAAAGGAAGAGAAAAAATTCCTGATGTCTTTCCATTTTCTTTTTCTTTCCACTATCATTTGCTTAGATAATGAAGGCTTACTCTGATCAGAAATGTGTTGTATGTTCAGGGGTGTCATCACTATGAGAATAAAGACATAACTATAGATAAATTCAGGCTGGATGAAAATGACATAAAATGACAAGCCAGAGTGAAAATTGTCTGAGGAAGTCAGAGATAGGTTGTATTGGGTAAATACAGTGAGATGGAAACAATCAAGGCAAGAACAAGGACCCTCAAACCCGTTCCAGGGAATAAGGCAACCTAGGAATAAGCAGCAAAGCATCTTGCAAAGAGATTGAAAACTATGAGTCAAAGAGCTAAGGAAAAATATTTTCCTAATAACATCCAGAGAGATTTAATTATATTAGAAAACAGTCAAAGTTGGCACTGAAATAATTTCAACAATAATTATTTAGTAAATGATATGTATTTTATTGTAGTTTTATGACAGTTAATACTGATATGTCTAAGTAGTCTGTCTCACATTTATTACTCATTATATATTCTGTATAATTCCAAAGTACAGGTTGCCAACAATTTGGGTAATGAAGATGGTATGCTGGTTTTGTACACTGGGCATGATTTCTTACATGTAACAGATAAAAGAATATGATAACATATGCATATATTTCTGCCCAATGCAAGAAATACATGAAGCCATAGAACTATCCATCCACAAAAAAATGCTACTAATCACAACCAAGTCACACTAACTAAACTAAACTAAACTAATTTAGCTTTTACAGCTATACACACCACTAGGCTTGAAAGCCATACTTGTTTGTTTTACTTTATCTTGGGGCACATAAAATCACGGTATTTGGCAGCACGGAATAAGGGACATTAAATCAGCTTTTATGCTGTTGTTAAGAAACCCATAGAGAATGGGATTCAAGCAGCAGGACATCATACCCAACAAATGGCATATGCAATATACTAATTTAAAGTGCCTGTTGGAAATGAGAGTGGCATTAAAATCTGTGACAATGTGGAAAAGGTGAAGAGGCATCCAGCTGAAGCCAAAAACTAGTATTAGCACTGTCAGTCTGCAAAAAACCCTCCTCGATCTTGTCTTAATTCTGATGATGGACTGGGATACTGTAATCATGTTCTGGATCTCTGTATTTTCTTCTGGTTTCATTTCAAAACAGATAGGGATCCCAGGGATGAATTTACTGGAGGAAAAGAGCTGGCTTTTTTCTGTGTCAGAGGTTTCTGGGACATCTCTGGAATGAGTATCCTGATGATGCCTTGAAATAGCTGGCATCACACTTGAAGTCTTTCTACTGTATCTTCTGTGGTGCCTTCTGCCAAAGGCACAGTTCCACCGGGAATATCTGGAGGGTTGAACCTGCGTGCCAGTGCTCTTAGAGGAATGAAGAGTTAGGTTTATCATCTCCTTTTCTTCAAACTTGTTTTCCTTGTTTGACAGCCTAGCACCTATGCTCCTGCAGACGCTGGTGTGACTGGCGGTCAGGCACGCCAGCGGCAGGATGTACTGCATGAACAGCAAGGCTATCGTGAAGGCGATCCTGTAGGAGTCAGAAGGCCATGACTCGATGCACAGCAGCCTGTTCTCCAGTCCCTCTAAATTCAGAGTTTTGCTGAGGTCCACGGTTTTATGGAAAACTGGCAGAGGGGAGCAAATTGTGAAGCCAAAGGCCCAAATGATCACTATTAAGAAATAGCCTTGTTTTGCTGTGAGATTGTTGGAGAGGGGATACTTTATCATACGGTACCTGACTGCAGCAATAGATATTAGCATCAAAGTTGAAACTAGGACTGAGGCACACTGGAGGAAGGGCATTACATGGCACATGACAGTGCCAAACATCCATTGGTCAAGCAGGACAGATGTCAGCGTGAAAGGTGAACAAAACAGCACAACCAAGATGTCAGAAAAGGCCAAGTTTCCAATAAGAATGTTTATTACTGTCTTCTGCTTGCACTTTAGTAGGGCCATTAATATAAGCAGATTTCCCACAAAGCCAGCCAGACTTATAAGCGTGTACAGCCCAATAAGAAAGTACTGCATGTCATCAACACTACTCTTATAGTCTTCCCAGGCAGAAAAATTCTTTGTTGCAGAAGAGGTGTTCTTGGTATGTGTGCTGTTGTTACGGTCTTTGAATTCTAAATCCATTTTACAGTCCTGCTTAGAACGAGAAAGGCATTAATTAGCATCTGAAGAAATTATGATATTGCTGTTAATCAGAATGTAAAAGTACATAAATTTACCTTTTACCTCAATGCAAATAAATTACTATTGATGTTAGTCTACTGTGAGGCAGATCCTGCATAACCTCAGGTCAGCATGAATTAGCTAAGTAGGTTTTATCATTTGGTGTTCAGCACTCCTAGGCCTCCTGCCTAGATACTCACGTGGGAGAATGGCAATTTACAGGTCTGCATTGTGATGCTGCCTTTTAACTGTGTTTTGCTGCAGAACATAGTGTCAGGCTTTCCATGAGGGAACAGTTAGCTACAAAAGCAATACACCTCGAGTCAGTGAGATTACTCATGTGAATAACAGCCCATTGATATGAGTAAGGAAATTACAGTCACCATCTGGGCAGATGGCTAATCATTATATCATTACAAATTATAAAGAAGGCACCTGAAAATGCATATGCTAACAACTGCAGTAGTATTCCTTACCTTGCTAGTAGAGAACTAACACAAAATAGGTGAGAGCTTTCAAAAAGGATCAGGAAATCCACTGTCAGTAATCCAAGATGGAATTCCTGATGTGGTGTGTGTAGAAAACATCTTCTACTAAGTGCTGAATATAGTTTAACTGTGTTCAAGCAGAAAGGAAAACTAAAAAACACCTAAAGTAATTGCATGTAAAATAGAGAGGACAGTGTTAACTGGAAGCAAACTACACACAGCCATTTGAAAATTCAGTGAACTACTTATTCAGCACAGAATCGTCTAATGTTAAACCTAGATCAGCACAAAGTTATTCTGCCTACTGAATCCTCATATATTAGTCTTCATTTTAGAACAAACAGAAAGACATGAGAATTCCTTTCAAACCTCCATTTACCTTAAACACTTCCATGTACTAGAGCTTCAAAGTCCAAATTCCCTAGAGTGCCAATGTTCTGTACAAAACTGCTTAATGTTTAGAAATCTTACATAAGAGAAAACAAAAAAGGTCTACAAACCCAAAGCATATGTCAATAGATCAGAAGGCTGTATCTGTCACCTGAAGAAGGCAGGGCTCTTCAAGACTATAGCAATCCTCAGTGAGCTGTACCATGCTGACATTTTCAAAGTGCAATAATATTATTTGGTTCCCTCCACATGTGCAGATGTGCTCGTTCCTTCATATCATGTGTGTTCCTGCTGTTACAGTTTAAGCCAAAGGGAAGCTCAAACCATAAAACAGCCTGAGAATGTTCACTAACTATTGTGATGTGAAGGTCCTCCAAGTAAGAGAAGAAATATACATATGCATATATATATATATATGAAAAGATCTTGCAGGTAATATGTTGGAAAGAGGTGAAAAGAAGTCAGCCTTCCCAATTTGCCTCAATATTAAAGTGCTTTTTAATAGCTAAAACAGAATTAAAAACAGGATACATGAAATTAGATAACCTAAATATTATAATTGTGTGCATATGAGTAGCCAGAGATGAATGCATATAATTTCTGTAATTTCTGTTCAGTTTCTTCTAGTCTTTAATGAAATGGTGGAAAACCATATAATAGACAAGTACTGTTATTTGAGACTACATTTGCCTCTAGACCAACTTTAAAGGAGCAGACTAGAGATTCTGTAAGTGATCTACTCTCTACATTGATACAATCAGAAGTTTTCATTTTGGTGGGTTTCTCCTTATAGAACTCTTAGCTCATGAAGTAAATAGCTTTTTATTTAATTTTTCTGAGCTAATTTCTGAGTTGCTATTAACCAACTGAAAATGGTTGTGCACCACACTGACTTCCTAAATCTGCTGAAATTTCTTTATATTTCCTAAATGTAACACTACATAAATTTTTCTGCATAACCTTTGCCCTGAATAAGGTAATATAATGCTAAGAATAAGACCAAGGAACAAAATTTTATGTAGTGTTATGTTGTAACATGTTTAATTAATCAATGTTTACTAAATTCTTCTTGAAGGTTTAAGTGAAAGATTGTTGCCAGGTTCTGTGGATTTCTACACCTCCACATAAAGCTCTTGCACAGTGGATTTAGTAGAAGGGTTCATTGTGTTTATAATACAAGTTTTGTGTTTAAAAACAAAAAGAAAATATGCTGGTTTTCTGAAACAGACATATTTTGTTGAGATGCATCAGTACTGAAGAAGTTTAGCAGGAGTGCCTCTGAAGTCCAGTATGGGTTTACCAGCTCTGTTCCTTCCGTGCTGTGGCTGCCCTGTGACTCAGGTGAGAGACAAACTCTTCCCTACCACATGTCCTCATTTCCATGAGGAAGGAGCACTGAAAAAAGTCACACCATGATCTCTTCAGATCATGGCTGGACACCCAGGGCACCAAAAAAGTCTGTGAAGCATAGAAACCCCTTCTGCACCTTATTCCTATAGTCACAGTTTCAGAGTGACAGCAAGACAGAGAGGGAAGGAATAACAGTGTAATCTACTGGTTTCAACAGACAGCTGCTGTGCTGACTCAAGTTTCCTTTGCCAAATGCCCAAAGAGAATTTTATTTTAATTTTGGACATGTAAAATAAAGCAGACTTTCCCCCCTAATTTCAAAACATGCCAAGTAGATCTCTTGCTCTCTGAGCTTTTTCTCCTGCTCAAAAAGAAACCAGTTGCTATCAGTCTGAGTGCCAGCAGCAGTAAAAATGCAAACAGAAGTTTTCCTCCCATATCATTGATCTCTAGTCCCCAAACTCATCTTCACAGGGCTGTGTGCACTTATTGGCATTTATCTTCCTGCTTTGTTTTAACAGCTGCTTCTATTCTCAGAGATTCACTCACCCTCCCTCATGTTGGTTGGTCAATCCCAGTGCAGCACGTGGCTGTAACTTTCAGGGAAATGGAAATTCCTGAAAATGCCATTGTGGAAAACAGAATTAAGTAATATAGCCCCTTTTCAATACCTTCACCTCATATTTGAAGTGTATTTCTAAACTAAATGCACAACAGTGCCAGGATGGCTTGCACCTCTTTTCAAAGCTTTAGTTAATCTGAAGGTACCTGCTGGAGGTTTTCTAGCTGTCAGCTCCAAACATTGGATCCCTTTCACCTCCTGCATCTATCAGTCAAGCAAACGAGGATCCTGTTCTGTAATGCTGGTCTGCACACCACACATTACTGACTGTGCTCAGCTACACCTGTGGGAGCTCATACCTGTGAGCTCTGTGTGGGCTTGCCTAGATCTCCTGTAGTTTCAGTGGAATGCTTGAGGCAGGAGGCTAGGTTGCTCAAGGCAGTAGAGACTGCAATTTTGTGGCAGGATCCAAGGGAGATTCAAATATTTACTGTAAGAGTCAAATGATTGCAGTCAGCATTTAGCTGAGTTAGAGGCACCAGATAACCTGTGCTAATTTAACATATTTAATATCTTATACTTAACATCATCTTTTCACTTACAGCTGTCGCTGAAATTACAAATTCCCTAAACCATAATTTAGAACAGTTAACAGGCTGGATATTTAATTTCTCTATATATTTAAAGGGAAATTTTCAAGAACACAAAAGTTAGGCAGGCAACCATCATCCTCTAAAGGCAATTGTTTTTTCTAGAAATGTTCCTTTAATTAGATGAGATACTTTATTCATGGTTTTTTCATGGATAAGAGCTTATATCCCACAATATTAATACCTATTAAGTTATCTCTGACTGGCTGGTCCTTGTACACTCCAGTCAGTTTAATCCTTGCAACAGGGCAATTAATCTTTATAGCTGTGAACGATTTACAGTCTTGGATGACCTTTCTCTATGTTAAAAGAAGAAAAAAAACAACCAAAAAACCCTCACCAAAAAATCCCAAAAAACAAAAACCCCCCAAACCCCGTGGTGAACACATACAGAGAGGAAGTACATTGTGTAAATTCATAAGAAGTACAACCTTTCTGCCCTCATAATATTGGAGAAGTATCAAGACTGCACTGAAAAAGTCAGAGAAGGTTTTTAAGCATCTACACAGATGTAAATAGTTAATATGCGTGGCCGTTACTGCACGACCACCAAAGGTTTAGGAAAGCACTGAGCTGTGTTGTTACAGCCTAAGAAATAATACCCTTACATCAATACAGACTGAGATAACATCCGAGACAAAATCTGAAACCACTGAAGTGTTGCATTCACTACACAAGCTAAGGATAAAAAGCTGCTGATTCTCATGTTCCTGTTCATCATGTGCAACAGCAAAAACTAGCCTGAGAACCTGGAAGAATGCAACAGATTGAAATTACTTCAGAAGTCAAAAAACCCCGATTTTTGTACACATTAATGGTATGCCTATTTCTCTGTCTCACCAAAAGAACTGCAACATTATCCCGGAAAACAAGAATACAACTTCCCAAATTATGCCAAAGCCAACTAATAAGATTGTATGTCCAGCTCCAAGGAAATACTATGGAACATAATGGTCTATTCGCTGGCCAGAACAGAAAACTTGAAACGCCTGGCTACATTTTTTTCCCAGGGAGCACAGCAACTCCTGGCTCGCAAAAGCACCAAACCACCCCAAAACTGGAACGACTGTTGTTTTTTGCCCTTCCACGCCTCCCTCGGGAACCACTCTGCACCGCCCCGCGTCCGAAACCGCGCTCCCGTTCTCAGCCGGGGCCGCCGAGACACCGCCACCCCCGGCAGGGCTGATGCGCTCCCCATCCCCGGGCGCTCGGTGGCAGGGCGGGGCCCCGCGCAAACTTGCGCGGCCGCCCCGCGAGGGGAGGGGAGCTGAGCTACGCCGAGCTGAGCAGAACCGACCTGAGCTGAGCCGAGCCGAGCCGAGCCGAGCCGAGCCGAGCCCGCCGTGGCGGCTCCGCGCCCGCCCCGCGTTACCTGCGCGCGTGTCCCGCGGCGAGGAGGGGCCGCGGGGGCGGCGCGGGCGCGGCGAGGCGGCGGCTCCGGTCCGCGCTCACGGCTCCGGTCCGCGCTCACGGCTCCGGTGCGCACTGACGGCTCCGGTCCGCGCTCACGGCTCCAGCACGGGCGGGCGGAGCGCGGCTCCGAGGAAGCGGAGGGAGGCGCGCAGCCCCCAGGGCTGGCGGCGCATCTTACGGGGGTGCTGCGGCGGCGCCGGGGCT